AACTTTTTGCTCAGAGATACTTACCTGACTTGTCCACTTATGTTTTCTCTTACATTTAAATGAATAAACCGTTACAGGAAAGATCTGGACCACTGAGAAAAAAAAAAGTCTGCACCATTGAAAAGAGATCCATTTGTGGTAGAAAAGATCAAGCAAAATCGCATTAAGCATCGTTGCTGATTGCTGCTATCTTGTTATCTGGGAGCACCTATCCAACACGAAGATATTGGAGGCAATAACATAAATACCTTCTGAGTTTGGGGGTTTTGCTTTGCTTTTTAATTACTGTTGGTATTCTCCCTCTCTGCTAGGGGTAGGTCTCAACCAGATACCTCTGGAGGAAAAAAATTCCAAGACAGGTCAGCTAATACAGAAACCTAGGGATGGGTGTCAGCATCTACATTACAGATTTCATGGACCACATCCAAGCCATCCCAGTAGTCCCAGCTGAGCACCTGTTGAAGGGTGGGAGAAGAGAAAACAGCCCCAGAGAGCCCTGCTGCACAGGGCCCTCCATGCAGGACAGCAGCCACTCAACACTGACAGTAGCTACTCAACACCAGCTTCTGGGATTTGCCTGAAAAAACTATGCTATGGCCAAACAGTATGTATTTCCACACTGAGATATTTTTATCTTACTGGTTCTACTTTAAAAACAATATATTTTCTAAAGAACACCACTGAAGATCATCTTGGGAAAAGTTGCCTACACTGCCAAGTTATTTTGTTTGCTGTCTGTCTCATGTTCTATAAAAACCCACACACCATATCCTCCTAAAAGTCTCCATTTCTTTCTCTTTGCCACATTGGAAATTCCTCACTTTAAATTGACTGTTATTCGGAAAATAGCCACACTAGAAAGCTTAGTGCAGCAAATTAGTCTGAAGTAGGTCTCTCACTGGGCCAAGATCAGTATGGAGACCTAATCTGTAAACTGGTTTCCACAGACATAAATCAAAGTTAAAAGGCCTGGAAGACTCGTTCACAAATGATTCACATAATTCAAAGCAGCTCGTTTGCAGTGCTGAGATTTAGGAATGTTTGTGTGGTTTGTTGTTTTTTTTTTATTTTTAATTTATTGCTTCCTGCATGGTCACTTGGAAAAAAAAAATGGAAAAAAAAAAAAAAGCCGAGCAAAAGCCCCAGTTGTACATCATTGTTCTGCAGACTTCAGAGAAAGGAAAAGAAACTGCTTGGTTCAGGATCAACATTCACCACAGGCAATAGGCACTGATTTACTTGCCTCAGACTTCCAAGTTCTGAATTATTCACAAAAAAAACACTTGCATTTCAATAGTAAGACAATAGTGCTCCTAAACTCTTAATTAAAGTCACCAATCAAACTGGAAAAAATCATCAGGAACACAAAGAGCTTTGCAGGAAATTTTATGGCAAGTGAAAAACATTTATTAACTCACAGAGACATTGCAATCTTGACATAAGGCTGAAACAGTTGCAGTTTGAGGTAGCTTTTGCTTTTTGCCACAGTCAAAGCAATTTTTTCCATTTTGAAGTACTCCAAGAACTTCTGCAGAAGCCCATCGACCCTGAAAGTGTTTAACCAGTGAGAGGGACTTTTTAACAAGCCTGCAGCATATGAGCAAATGAAAGGCTGTCTTCAAGTCACAGACAGCCTGGTCCAGATAGGAACGCTTAACTGGAAGTAGGAGTACTTTGATCCAGGACAGTTCTATAAGGAACTAAAAATTTTAATCTAAATATTAGATGTTCATTACCTGGATCTGGGTCATAACCAAGCCCCTAAATCTCTGCTTTTGACATATCTTTGGCTATCTACAATTATCTTCTGTGTATTTCTCCACAATGCATGAAATCCTGCTGTTGATGTCCAAGGAGAGACCTACCACTGCTTTCACCAGGTTAGGACTTTACTCATTTTGCATAGCTAGGAGACCAACGTGAGTTACACATGTGGTTTGTAGAGTCCTCTGTGAGGAGAAAAAGAAATCCAAGTGACCCTCAAAGGATGGAAAATAAAGAGAAAATTGTTATTTGATTTTAGTTTGAATCCATCCTAAAACAACCAGAGAAAGCCATGGGAGTAATAAATATATATGATTCATATAGTCATAGTTCATAGTCAACTTATCACCTACCCATACTCCCAGGTCCTTCTAAGCTGAACTGCTCTCCAGGAGGTCAGCCCCTAACCTCCTCTGGTGCTTGGGGCTCTTCTTCACCAGGCGTAGTACCCTACACTTGCCCTTGTCGAACCTCATTGGGTTTCTCCCTGCCCAATTTTCCAGCCTATCAAGGTCACACTGAATGGCAGTACAATTTTCAGTTGTATCAGCCACTGCCCCCAGCTTTGTGTAATCAGCAGTCTTGCTGAGGGCATATTCTAGCCCTTCACCCAGGTCATTGATAAACAAGTTGAAAAAGACTGATACAGAAAATGTTCTGCTCTGAAAATGTTCACTGATACAGAAAATGTTCTGCCCTTTTTTGAAGCTGACACTTGCAAAGTTGTATGCTCTTGCGTGTCTGCAACCTCAAAAAAAAGGAAAAAGAAAAAGCTTTTCTCTCAAACCCAGTAATGCTTAATGCAGGGTTCAGTACATTATACAGCTACACTTATCACTTTTTGGTAAGGCAAAACTAATTCTTACACTTGCTACCCATTATCAACTGGAAGATCTTCCCTAGCAATTGTCCCTCAACAAGAAATGAAGCTTCCAGAAGACTGAAGATATCCTTGTGTAACAAAGGCTACACACAGGTCTTTGCACAGATACTTTTTTTGCCTAAGGCTCAGGAAAATTCACAGACCAGAAAAAAGATTGGATGTTTTCAAATAATTTATTTTAAGTAGCACCATTTTTTAACATATTGCCTGAATAAATACTTTCGTCTATATCACATCAAAGAACATCAAATATGAAAAATGTGGCTTTCTGGCCAAGCCATGTTATCACTTGGAGATTAATAGTTTTCTTTAATGTGATAAATATTTCATAAAATAGAACTTACTTAATAATCAGCTCTTTAAAGACTGAGTCTTTTTTCATCTACTGAATGCAAACAGGGATATTTAAAGGGAAGTATATAGTTCCACTAAGTGTTCTTTAGGAAAGAGAAATTAAAATGGCGTCCAATGTCTGGTCAGCCATATACCAGTTTCCCTATGCAAGAGTTCTTCATCTTGCTAAAACTTTTGATAGCAAGGTTTTGGTCATCCACAAATTAATAACTCGGTATCAAGCTAATTTATCAAGGTGACTCAAGCTGAAACATACACGTAGAGGCTGAAGTGATGCCTTCTTATTTCAGGTACCAACAGTGACATCCAACACTGTTTTTTTTCTTTTTCTTTCCTTTTCCTTTTTTTATTACCAATATTACATTTTGAAAACTTTATTAAATAGAAAGCTAAGAAGAGGATGAAAAATGTTATATTAAATCAACTCCTCTACACCACCCAACGTTTCACATCTTTGTCCTTTTACCATGCCAAGGAGCAGTTTAGGCCACGTATTATTATCAGGCACTTCATTACACCCCTTTTTTGATATAGAGTTTCCATTAAGCAAATACTTCTCACTTAGAAGTTTCTTTCTTTGTCTTACACTTTACTAGCTATGGATTAGCAGCTTCTAAAGGGACTGCAGTAAGAAAACCATATAAAAATGTGGCATAGCATGATGTTCTTGATTAGGCTCTGTAAAAAGAGGAAATTAAGGATGAGTCACAGCTTACTACTCTATATTCAATTAGGACTGGCTTCACTGTGGCTGTGGTTTGTGCAGGATGTGCAGTTATCTAATACAGCCTGATTCTGGCCGCAGAACAATTAGAATGCAAAACATAACTTAAAACAGGCCCTGGCAATATTTTTTCCTTTGTGTGACATCTTTCCTTCTGTGACATCTTCAGCAGACTCAAAACAGCAGTCATCAGATCATATCCTATACTGAGATTCCAAATTAATATTCTGAAACTGAATGCAGCTTTAAAAATACTCAGTGGTGGAAAAATAGAACATGATATGGCTGAAGAAAGCAAGTGGAGAAGAGCTTTGATGCCTACACATGCACATATGTACAAAATCTAAGAGACAAATAAATGCTACAATTAAATACAGCATTGTGAAACTGACCTCTGTTCTGTGGTGACCTCAAATCAGGCTCTTATGTCAACAATGTGCTCAAGGTGTGCAATGCTCAAGCAAACCACCAACAATAATAAAATCTTGCCCATCTCCCTTCTTATGCATGACTCACTTTTAATGAAGATTATAAGAATCTGGCAGGGTTTTCCTACCCAACAGTAATCATCACCCTTTCTCCCCAGTTGGTCTGCACAGCTTCCTGATGAAGCCTTTGGCCTTGCTGCAAAGTATAGCACAAAGTCAAGTCACACGCACATTAAAATACCTCTCTTCCTACACGCTTCCACCCCAGGGCTATTTTTTCCTCCAGACACACATTCTTAAGCAGCATTCTGTTTCACTGATGACAGCTCAGGTACTTCAATGGCAGCTTAAACTGCAACACGAAGGAAACTCAATACCCAAACAACCTCTGTCTCCGGAAATCTGTAAATTGCCTCCTGCCAAGAGCTAGGTGAGTGTACTGAAAAATATCACTCTGGTTTTGCCTTATTGTATTTTTTTCCTGCTATTGGCCACTGCTACAGACAAAGCATTCTCCTAGCCTGATGTTTGTCTGGATCTGCGACAATCTTAAATGTGAGTGCTGTGCTCCTGCACTCCAGTCTACACTGCAAGGTGGAAAGTGGTCAAATCCCTTCGCCTTTTCTTTTGGTATAAGGAATATCTTTTTGTCCCTCTACTCTTTACTGGCAGGGTTTTGAGCAGCTGTATTCTTCCTCCCAAATTCTGATTCTGTTATAATTCACTTTGTCTCAATGTTACTTTCAATAAGAAACCAACAATAACATATTTCATTCATTTCAAAATGAGCCCATTAACAAGCTACAGTAACAGGGCAACCAACCAATTTCAGTAATGACATACTTACCCTTTAGTCTGAGGTCTACATTGTGTCTCAGCCAAGGATAAACACCATAGTTTGACATGTCTTCAGGAATAGGGTGATTATATATCCAGCCATCACATGCAAATCGATAAAAATTCTCACACGGATCTACAGATTGATTTATCTTGCTTAGGATGCCAGCAGCTGTAAAAAAAGACACCACACAGATTTTGTGGAACATTTTTTCCTAAACGGAGAATTCCACGAGGCCACATTCCACAAACGAGTATTAACATCTACCAGTCTCTGCAGCATGATGCTGACCTCACTTGCAAGCTAAGCCTTGCCCATTTTGGGACTGATGTTTGCCCTGATCTCTGTAATTTTTCAAATAGTGTTAAAAATACCACCCAGCGTCTCTAGCATCCAACAGTGCCTGCATGGGAAGCAAAACCCCCTGCAAAATGCCTCCAATGAATGTCCCTAAGTGCTGTACAGCAATGACCATGGAACCACTGCAGGAATGTGAACTGCTGGAGCCAGGCACCTGAAGACAGGCTCTTCATTGTTGCCATGATAGAATTAATTGCCTGAAGAATTTAGTAGCACACATATCAATCAGATTGTAATTAGTATTCCAGAAATTATGCACTGTTTACCTTAAGCTGAATAGCTGCACAGGAAAACAAATCAAGTTCTCATCTACCATTCACTGGAAAAGATAATTGTAGTATTTTCAGCTCCATTTTGTGACTGCATCCTCGCTAGTTGCTATTGCAGGTGAGACTGGTAAGAGATTCATCTGACAAGCTAGAGACTTAGTAGTTTCTGAGTACCTAATCATAGAATCATAAGATAGACTGGGTTGGAAGGGACCTTCAGAGGTCACCTAGTCAAACTCGCCTGCAATGAACAGGGACATCTTCAACTAGATCAGGTTGCCCAGAACCACATCCAGCCTGGCCTTGAATGTCCCCAGCAGTGGCACATCCACCACCTCTCTGGGCAACATGTTCCAGTATTTTACCACCCTCATAGTAAAACATTTCTTCCTTATATGTAGTGTCAGTCTACTCTCTTTTAGCTTAAAACCATTAGCCCTTTCACACATTATAGTGACCGTGCCATAAATCTGCATGGGTTGAGTAACATGGAATATGTGGATACTCTACATTTTTTTGGCTGAATGACCATGTGCTTTGAGATTTAGCCAAATAACTGATTCAAATTTCTAGCAGGAATTCACATAACTTTTACAGACTTTATGGTACTATTTCTATCATGCAGTAACTTCTTCATACACTTAGAGTAAATCTTCCAATGGTATATCTCAGCTGCAACTCTCTTTCTCACATAAGAAACTCTCAAACTGACTACATTGAAGACATTTCCATCCTTGGTAATTTTCTCTCTTTCATGAAAAGCTGTACAGCAGGGCAGGGCTTAGGCCTTGAGATACTATGTAGTCACTACTCAGCGCACTTTGAGCTAGAAAGTGCAGGTGTCCAAGTCTGCTCTGGTTAAAATCCCAGCTCCGGCTGAGCCTACCCAAAATTCCATGTTATTTTGTGTGCATGGGAGAAGAAGAAAGCCAATTTAGATTTAAACTTGTGACATTTTTTTTGTTGTGAAGCTCATGATGAAGCCCCTACAATTGTTTGTTTTGGTTGGGTTTTTGGCAGTGGTAGTATTTTGATTAGTCATCACACCTTACTTAGGTATTTGCACTCATTCAAGAATCAGCCCTAGAGCATGGTGCTCACGGTGACCAAGAGCACCATCAGCGCATCACAGAGTGGAAGCAGAATGACAAGAAACATCCTGGTAATGCTGAGATCTGCAAATTTTGCAATTTACAGAGTCCCACAGAATTTCTCATGCCAAACACCTCACAATATCAGCTTCAAATGACTCAAAATGGAAATAAATACTCTTATAAATTCGCACAATGTCCACTTTGTTTCCAGTAAAATAACTCTAGGGGCAGATTTCCAGATGTGGTTACTACTGTTTGATCTTTATACTCAATTGTAAGACTCTTATTTAGTGTGAGGAAAACTCTCAAAACTGACCGGCGCAAAATTGGTGTCCTACCAATCTTGGTCCCTTTAGCTCACATTTAATATGAATAGATGTCCCAGCTCTACGAAGGTTACCACATGTATCTCTGTGTTGGGAAAAGAGCCTGCTGATAGGGAATTAGCAGATTTTGAGTCACAGTCACCACATTACAATTGTGCAATCTGTGCAAGATCTGGCCCTAATGCATTTCTGTGCTTAGCAATTCACTTGCTAGTTTGCTGACTACTGGAACACCAAAATACACCTGAAGGTCAAGTCACCCAATATTTTGTTTCTAGACAAAAAATAAATAAGCCCTATGGGAAACTTTGAGTTAACCTGGGTAGAATAGAGTTAAAAAAATTTAAAACATTAATTTCAATTGCAGAATATACACAGATCTTTAGCAACTTAAACAGTGACTTTCTAAAACTTTGTTGACTTTTTTCCCCTCATTAATGATGATTTCTGAGTAAAATGTCTCATGAAAAAAACTAAACAGGATAATTATTTCATTAACATACTACAATTGTGATACAATAGAGAAAATAAAATTGTTGCTTACCAGCTTCAATGCATTCTGCGGTCAAACAGTACTGTTGCTTTGGCTGAAACTTTATAATACCTTGGCTAACTGCAAAATGGAAAACCATTATGAGATCATTTGTAGTGAATTTTGACCATTGCAGCCAAATGTTGTGTACCTGATCATTCAAATGTCCGTGCAAGCTCTGGCCTCAACACATCTCTGACTACACTGATTTAAAGAATTTAGAACTCATATTAAGTAAATACTGCAGCTTGTAAAAAAACCTTTGCCCTCCTGTGCCTCATTTCTCTGCCTTTGCTTGTAGGCAGGATGGAGAAAGGGCTGTTTCTCAGCATATGGTTTGCACAGCACCTGTCACAGCATTTCAGCCCTACTCACCAACACAATGCAGACAATTAATCATTGTCACTACCATCCTCCAGAGATGCAACTTCCACAGCTGGCAGTGCAACATGGAATGATCTAGCCACCTTCCACAGGGTATCCACAGCTCCTCCTGAGCTGTGGGGCTCACACTGCTTGGAAGCACCAAGCTGCACAGCCCCACCAGCATGACCCAGCACCAACAGGATGCTTTCAGGGTCCCCTTATTCCAGCCTAGAATACACCAGTCAGCAATGGGCATAGGGATAGCTGTGGTTTATAAAGCACAGCACAGTTTCTGTCTGAATTGTCTCCCAAATGTATTGTAACTGCATTTGCTTCCAAAACCTTTGCGGATGAGAACTATTAAATTGTCAGTTAATTTTGCCCATCTTTTAAAAATTTGTATTACAGCTGCCACAGAAGCTTAATTGCAGACACTGTTGTCAGGCAGCAAATACGCAGATAATTGATACTTTGGATGAGGATGGGAGAATCCCAAGGGGTAGATGAAGACTCAGTAGATGTGTTCAGTAGACAAATGTTTAATTATATTAATTATATTAATAACTTGGTCCATGGCAAAATAAAAAATAAATTAAAAACAACAACAACAATGGAATGTATCAAGGTATCATAATTTCACCAGCACTGATAATTATAAAGCAGTTTCTCCTGTGGTTATATACTGCTCAAAAGGGATAGGAAAATGTGAAATGGTATTTCAGCACAGGAAAATTTTACGATAAAATAACTAAAGTAAGAGTTTAATCTCTTCCAGCCCCATAGCTTTAATGACAATTAACAACAGAAATTGCTGGATTACAATCAGATTTACTTAGAAACTGAGAATGTAAAACTGTTTCTGGATAACTTTACCAAAGCTTGCATGAACACATTGAAACCACCTTTGTAAATTAGCCAAGAAATACATGAGATTTTGAAACATATAAAGATTGAAGAATAGTAAAAAACAAGAGAAATGGAGGTCTCCAAAATACGATTTTGAGCCACATGAAGCACAAATAATGAATAATATGCCTATTAATTGTTGCTCTCCTCTCAGCTTATCTTGTCCCTTTTTTAAAGTTAGCCTTTTACAACCCATCCAGGTCTTGAAAGTTTTCTAGATTTTTTTCCTTAACAAAGCACATTCTTTCGTACTTAGTGGGAAGTCAGGGAGAACTAAAACGAATCAGTAGAGAATCTGAAGTAGCCCTCAGAGTTTTGATACTTATAAACAAATGCAAAATACCATTTCAACTGGTTTTATTCCATTTACAACATCACCATTAGAGCAAACTAAAAACAATTATTTGGCAGTAACATTTACCTTTCAATGAACAGCTAATATTGATTGAAAATTTTTACTTGGCTTCTTTCTTGTACCTTTTTGTTGTTGTTAAGAGAACTAACCATTACATTATTACCTACAGTTGTTATAACACTCAATGTCCCAGCTTCTTCCTTTATAAACCTGTTTCCAGATTCTTAAGCAAATACACATTGTAGTTAAGTTCTCCTAAAAAAAAACGGAAAGGGAAAACACCAATATGCAGAAGCAAATGGTGTGGATGTTCCTATAATCTGAGAAATCCAGGGTCTACCAAGTCGGGAGGAGAGGCTACCGAATTAAAGTTCAAAGTTGCATGACTTCTTTCCTGCCCAGGGGAACTGGAGAATGAATTGCTTCCTTTTGCTCTGACCCTGGCTCCTAAGCAGGAAGTGGCTCCTTTCCTGCTACAACCCACACTACCGTCCAGAGAGCTGCAGGCAGGACCCAATCTGATGCCAAGTGACTCCCCTGGTAGCTCCTGCTGGAGTCATAGTATGGCTACAGCTGGAAAGACCGAGCAACAGTAAATAAAAATATGTAATTCTCTCAGATTCCTTCTTAGAGTTGCAGGAACCCATGAGAAGAAAAACAAGAGAAGCAGAAGAAGGCTACGTGTCACTCCTCAGTGTGAGAAATTGAAGGGAAATCATTCCAGGTGTACCAGAAACAGCAAGTTTTGTAAAATAAATGAAAACTGAAGAAGTCATTTTGAGGTGCCTAAAATGTTTCACAGGACCAGTAATAACAGTCTCCTTTCTACAGTTTAACAAATCTAAAAAAAGAGTTAAACTTACAAACAAGAGTGTCACAATGAAACTCTGAAACATTGTATTGATAAAATGTTGAGCCAAAACAATTTAACTTTTTTCCTTTATTCTTTTGGTTGAAAACCTTGGACAACTCCCAAATAAATCCTACAAACATTTTTGTTGACCCACAGCCAGCGTTTTTATTTTCTCAGCAGTTATGCCAATGAAAATTTTGACACTGGCTATGGAATAGACCTCAGCACCCTTAGAAACTATGTCTAAGAATTAATATATTGGCTTAAATTTTTATGTCTGGTCTATGGATAAAACAATTCTATCTCTGACAAGCTACGGTGGCAAATGTCTGCTTTTTACAAGCAATAAACAAACAATCTAGTGCTAAAAAAAATAAAATGGAAATAAGGTCTCTCCATTACCTTCTGGTGTTTGATACTTTATTCTTGAGATTAAAAACATTGTTTTTCATCTAGAAACAACATTTTGTACTAGCAAGTTGAAGATTCAAACCTACTCACATTTATGAAGGGTTTGGTTGAACCGAGTGGGATTACTCACTTGTACACAAGCTACTTGCCTTCAAATGTTTGGAGATTTTGCTCTAGAACAGAAAAACACTAACTATTTGCAACCTTTTAACAAGATCACAAAATTATAAAGGATTGGAGGGAATCAAAAGAATGGTTAGAGGCTACGTTCCCTCTAGTCCAGGGAAATCTGTGTTGGTCTAAAGAAATGAAGAGTTGGGCTGAATTATTCTCAGACAGTATCTGCCTCTGAAAGTTCTTACAAGATATAACACTGGTTTCTCTTCTTTTTTCTGCTTTGTGGCTCTGGGTTCGTTTATACTTCTTCACATCATTTTATAGGTGCAGATGTATGTTTCCAAGCAATACTCCAACAAAACCAATCTACAGATGAGTCCAAATGCTGGAAAAGAAAAACTAATTCCTTCTCTATTTCATCCAGTTACAGCTTATGAATGTGATCAAAAAGTTTTAATCTTATCCTGGATATAATCTTTCTGATTTTTGCAAAGCCGACTTTGCGATTCATCATAGAAGACGAGAAAGATCTAAAAAATGTGCAAGCATATGCACTATTGAAGCCTTCTACAGGAATATTAGTCAAGCCCTAAATGAAAACCAAATGAAGGAAAACCCAAAAGATTCCATAAAATGTGTGCACTACAGATTCATTTTCAGGAAACAGAGAGTATTATTGCACATCGATCATAAACTGTGCATTTGGAACCAGCATTAGTGACATGCATAGTTTCACCCGTTTCTCCCTGTTTTGTGCAAGAACCCAGTTCTGGTGAGAACACATTCAACTGAGTATCCAAACATAAATTTAGCATTCAGAAAGTTACATGAGCTCACATTGCATCTTCTAGCTCTAGTGTTCCCACAACAAATCCTTCTCCTGACACATTTCCATTTCAGCATAAGTATAAAATGAGGGGAAAAGAAGAAAAGACTGAGATTTTCACGAAAACAGACTGTGGAGCACAAACTCTGGCATCAAGAAGCCACGCTGGGGAGGGTTGCATTGAGGTTATCCTCAACCTTTTCACTTACCCAAGAAAAGTGCAGTGCCAAGCACAACAGTGCCACTCACAAAGATCCCAAGAGCAATTCGCGTGGCTTTGCTGGCTGCTCTGCTGGACTCAGGTACCGTCTCTCCTTCCATTGGGATGGCCTAGGATGTGCTTGCTCTTACAGAAGTCTGGGTTTCCTCTGCTGCTGTAGTATCAGTATTTCAGCTTTCACAAACTGCACCCATGAGCTCTCCTCCTCCTCTCTCCTATTTACAGCTCCAGGTTTCTGTCGTGAACCATTTCCTAGGCACTTCCTGCTCTCTGCCTCTCAAAGGAAAATTGCGTGTAAAATAGTAGCTGTCTCCTACGTTTTCCTCTGACCAGGAGGAGGAAAGGCGAGTGGTGACCACTGAGTGTACAGCCCTTGCTGCCTGTAGAGCCGGTATGAGCCAATCACTCAGCAGTCCCCCTTATCAAGGGCTCCGAAAACGATGATTTCACAATGTTGCTGAACAGATGTTTTAGCTATTCAAACATATAGCTGTAAACTCTTTACAATCAAAGCATGATAGCTGACAACTTTTATGAACATAAAACTGATGGAAGGTTTCCTTTTTTTCTCCTCGTGCTTATTTAAAATGACTAATTATCTGCTGTTTAAAGTTTTCGCCTCTTAAACCATTCCTGCTGCATCATTTGGCTTCACCAGAAGAGATACCCACTCGGTGGACAAATCCCTTTTTAAAGCTTCTGAGGCGCTCTTAGAATATCATGTAGCATTTTATTTTGGGAATTTGGTATGTGACACTGCGTGCCAAAAATCACAGTCCTGCAGCACAAAGCAATAATCAGCACAACCTACGGAATAGGGATGCTTTAAAAGCTAGATTTTACTTTTTATTTTTTCCAGTCAAGTTATTTTAGTCCTTACTGATACATAACGAATCTTAGGAGGTGATCCTTTGTTTCCAAGTCAAGTACTAGTATGAGTTTAGTGGAAAGTATCTATTTAGCACTTCAAGTTGGTGGGTAATAATAATAATAATAACAATAATAAGCTTTATTTAAATGGATTTTTCAGTTTTTGGCTTAGACTTGATAATCATTTCAGGGTGAATTTCTCTGAGCTGACTGTGACATTCAGCCTTCTGAGGAGCTCTCACTCCCTCCAGAGCTGGATTCTCAGGTAACACAAAAAGATGCAGGGAGAGGCATTGCCATGCTCATGCTCCCAGAACAGTTATGTGTTTGAGTTATTTCTGTGCAGATTTAGGAGTTCTTTTCTCAGCCCCCACCCATGTGTTAAAAAAAAACTGCACAAGCAGAGAGAAGAAAGGTATATATCACAAGGTGCATATGATGGCAAAGTTGCCAATTTAGAGACTGAATGTTTCTTCCCCATGTGAGCCCCTGCACACAGGTTGTCCCGGATACCAGATGGACATAAAGTGGAAACCCACCCCATCCAGAAGAGTTTGAAGGTCCTGAAACCCTCACTCCTCAACCCCTGGACAGCCCAGCTGTGGTCCTGCAAAGAAAATGCCCTCATTTCTTACTCCTGTCCTTCTTTGCCAGCAAGCTCCAGGAAGGAATTTTCATCTCTGCTTGGCACAGAACAGCAAAAAAGCATTTATTTATTTTCACCTGCCTACTTTTCCCACATTTAAACTATAATTTTTGACATCCATCTGCTGAAGAAAGAGGGAAAAAATGCCATGAAGCCAAGAGGACCATGTACCTTCCAGCACAAGAGTTCCCATTCACACCTGAATGACTCCATGGGTGTGAGCAGATCCCTGGAATAAACAATCCTTAACACAAGAGTAGCACAGGTTTGAGAAGGTATTTAAGTGACACTTGACTATTGAGTCTTTATATCAGAAATTACTAGAAGTCTCAATGTGGATGCCAAAAGGGCAAGGTATTGACACAGAAAATGCATGGACATGCTGTGATCTCAACACTGAACCAACTTTGCCCATAATCTGAATGCTGAGTAAATCTCAAAACCATCTGACAAGCATTTGCTCTTGGTTGCATGATGGTTTTCCTTCTGTGTCAGTATTGAACCACTGACAGTACAAATGCTGAACAGTTATTAGACATATGCGTACTGTCCATCATCTTTCTATGCCTCCAACCAACATTAAATGTTCATATCCTTGCTCAAACTGTCCCATACTTTATAACTCAAACTTTTGCTTCCTAGAGAAGTGCTACCATGTACTGAATATCATGCTCTGTTAGTGTTTCACTAACAGCATTTTGCTTTCAAGGTGTGATCTCTCTCTAGGACAACATCAGGCCAGAAACCAAGAACAGCTTTCAACGGTGCAAAGCAGAAACCAGTTATTTCCCCTGGGAAAATTGTGGCGGGCGGGGGGGGAAGAGAGAAAAGGAAGACAGGGAAGAAGATTAGAGGGAGAGGCTGGACAATTCAGTCCCCTCTCCTGCACAGCTAAAGAGAAGGTGAGGCTATGGGAGCATGGAGATATCCCAAGAAGAACCAGCAAGCTCCAACTGCAGGACTTCTCTGGAGGGTCAGCCACAAGCAGTACGTGACCCATCTGGCAAGAAAATCACAAATCAGCTGCCAGAAGCAGTATGACTTCTCTATGTTCGTGTTTGTGGCCTTACTTACATTGTGGCATAGTATGAGTCCTTCCCTGTGGCTGTAGAGACTGGTTGCAGTCACTCATCTTGGTTTCTCCAGCATGTACAGAGCTATGAAATCAGGGCTAAAACACAAACAGCTGCAGGCAACAGCTGCAGAGGTCTGTTTCTGGCAATACTTGTAAAGGTGCATGGAGCACATGTGAACCAGCTTCTGATACTGCTGATCAGTAACAGAAGTTTGTGGAATTTGATACGTGTTTCTGATGAGTGTGGTAGGATTTGGTTGGTTGCTTGTAATAACTCCTCCAGCTCTTTGGCAGGTACACAATACATGGCCACGCTTACTGGTGGAAAGGCTAACAGCACTTCTGGCTATTTTTGCCCAGTAAGGCACTTAATGAAGCTAGGCAAAGATTCTGTTAAGCATTCATAAAAACTGAATAGTCATGGGGGAAGGGGGGGGGGAAGCAATAATTAATTGCAACATGCTCTGAATCACTCTTCCCTCAGAGTGAAGGCGAATCGCCTCTGATCAAGATCCTGTTCAAACAATGGGATTGCTCTGGCACTTAAAACAATGGCAGGACAATGTGCAAATATTTCCACCCAAACCCATATGCAGAAGCTGGCAAATCCTCTGGAACATGCACTGGCCTGAACCACAGCAAGAGTATCCCCACTTCTAGAAAAAGTCTGTCTACATATGTAAGTGTGCGTGTATGCATATGAACATTCACTAGCAAATACAAGCATGTGTGTATGACCTTGTTCTTTCACAAGCAAACACAGTTCTCACTTCCAACCACTATGCCAGAGTTGGGCAAAAGTGCTTAATCAGAGCCAAAATCAATAGTACTATGTCAACTTCTCCCTACATAGGCTGGTTCAAGGAAGTTCACATTTCTTGATGTTTGATGCTGAGTTACACAATACATTAGCTACAGAAGACATTTCCTTGGAGATGCTGTCCTCATGGTGCACATTAAATACTTGCCCTATGTGGGAGGCAACTGAAGGTTACCTTAGAGGAATTAGTTGAGCTTGACAGGAGCAGTTCAGAATCAAAGCATCACAGCTCTGATGATGTCCTATGAGCACTTATAGCTCATGGTAAAAGGAAGAATTTAGCCTCTACCACTGTTGGTGGCACAGCCACCAGATACAGCTTGAGTGGCTTCAGCAGAAAAGCAGAGATATATGCTGGCTTTGTTGAAAAAGATTAATAAGCATGAGATTAATACAGCTTGACCATTTGTAAAGGCTGCATTCCATTTCATTTCAAGTCTTCCGCTATGGGGCCTTGAACTTTTTTTTCAAACAATGCAGCTGTTTGTAGCCAGAATTGGCCAACTGGGCTTCACTTACATGGTGTGCTTGAGAAAAACCCAGCATGTTGCATTTGAAGACAGATTAACCATTTGTCCTCAGACCTCTAAATCTTATAAATGATACTCTCTTTGCCACAAACTCCCCCAAATGTCCATGCTGCAGCCAACAGCAACCCTCCAGCACAAATTCACGTCCTTTATTCATGTGACAGATACAGCTGGAAATAAAGAACTCCATTGTTTTCTGCTGGTACAGCCACATCACAGAAGGTCTCTGCAGCTGTGAGAATGCGGGTCATTAATTAAGAGCCAATACAGAGCCAACAGGCCTTGCAGAGCTCTGAACACTGCTGGTGGCAAGCTCTTCCACTAACTATAAGCACAACTGTGGAGAGGACAGCCTGTGAAGGAGAAAATTTTGTTCTCTAACACTTTATTCTCTAAATCAATTACTATTTTTCTTTTTTAATTCCAAGTAGGTTAAGCTGTTCTTATTACTCCAAGAAAAACTTGTTCCTGCTGTAGGAAACACTGCATTCTCTGACTAAAAGGTGCTTGTATCTAACCCAAACAGCAACTCATTATGAAAGCAAACATCTGGGATGATTAAAGTTAAACCACTCAATTTTGCAAGCTTTTTTAGAGCTGCTCTTGAAAAAGCACTTTAATGAAACAATCCATATATTCTTGAGCAGAAAGAACTGCTTTAGGTCTTCCAGCAATTTTTCTTCAAGAAGCAGCTTACATTATAGCTAAACACTACTTCTCCTAAAGGACACATTCACACTATAACATGTGTGTCAAGTCATCACATGCGTCTGTCATCCCACAGATTAAACCTGGAGTCTGTGCCCAGTGTACATGCTGACATGGACTCTAAAGAGGCATGTTAAATGGGGATTAAACCTGAGGTAACTCAGAGTAATTGTTTTCACTTTCTCATATGATCTAATTGAAAGAGCACTGAAAAAGACATTGCTGGAAAATGTGACATTTCCAATGGCCAGAGCTGTAGGTGCAAGGGCGTAGATAGGATACAACTATCACATCTATCAATATTGCATTAGGGCCACCAGAGCTTTATCCGCTTATTTTGTTCTGTCCCAGAGGCTCACTCACAACTGACTATTTATATGAACAGTGGAAGCAAGGAAGCTTGGTGTCCAGTGAGTTTGTGTCTAATGGATGAATTTCCAGATGTATAATAAGAAATATTAGAAAGAGTCAGGAATGTTGTAGACAAGAATTTGAGAAGTCTGCTCAGGACTTGGACAGGTCCACTAAGGATTGTCTGGACCAAAAGTCATGGGATGGGAGCTTCATGCAGTTCTAACCACATAGATAAAGCCCAAAGTCTGAGTCACACTTCAGTACAAGGAGGCTGGGAGGGTGCAGGGAGCTGAGGTCTCTTTAGACCTCTCCTATGAAGACAGGCTAAGAGAGTTGGGCTTGTTCAGCCTGGAGAAGGCTGTGGGGCGACCTTAGGGCAGCTTCCAGTACGTGAAAGAGCCAAAAAGAAAGCTGGAGAGGAACATTTTACAAGAGCATGTAGGCATAAAGCAAGGGGCAATGACTTTAAACTGAAAGAGGGGAGATTTAGATTAGACATTACGAAGAAATTATTTACTGTGAGGGTGATGAGGCACTGGCACAACTTGCCCAGAGAAGCTGTGGCAGCCCCATCCCTGGAAGTGCTCAAGGCCAGGTTGGATGGGGCTTTAAGC